CTTATTTAGGCCACAGTCCACTGTGGCCTAAATAAGCTAAACCCCCCTCCCTTACCTTATTTAGGCCATATGTGGCCTAAATAAGCACTCCCTTCTTTAAAATAGGAGGTATTCATCATTATTGTTGTTGGGTATAGATATCATATTTTAATAGAGCCTCTCGATATCTACATCTAGACAACAGTAGACTTATAGTAAAATAGGAGATAAATGGGCTTAAAAACATAAAACAAGTCTGGCTGACTGATTGAACTCAATACGCTAAGGTGTGTTATAAGATTAGTAATATATGAAAACAAGATAGGCCTACATGTTGAAACCTAGACTCTGGATTTTGTCCCGTCAAAATAAAGGTCTGCTGCGCATAGCATCTAATTTACACACACAATGGAAGGCAATATATATATACGTTAATTAAAATGTTTAATATATATACATACACACACACGCACACAAACTAGAATAAGAATATTTTTTTAAAATCAAGTATCTCGGTCTTTCTTCTGGGGTGTTGTTACAGTGTATCCCTTTCTGCCCGGGTTGGCCTTGGCAAGTAGCGCCGGAGCCAGCCTCTTGTAAAGGTTCATGATCTAAATTGTGTCGCTGGGGGCATAAAAACACTTTCATTCAGATTTTTTTAAAAGGAAAACAACACCTGTGAAAACTTCTGTCCACCGCAGCATCATATCGGTTCTTACACTTAAACACAACACAGGAGGAAGGCATTTTTAAAATTGACTTGCCTAATCTCGGAATTAATCCTTCTTTCTTATCTAGATCTAGATTCCATTGCGTGAGCGCAGCGCAGGTAGACCACAGTTCCGCTGCGAGAGAGGGCTCCTATCAGGCGTGCGGTGCCGCCCACAGAGCATCCTCCATTACTGTAAACTCCTTGGGTAGACTCGACCAGTGTAATAGTTAACTTACATAATCAGCGCGTGTGGCTGCTTATAATTGTGGCTCGACGAAATGGGTGAACAGGGTATATGTGGCATTGAAACAGTTTTGACTGCTATGCACATGTTCCCTTCAACTCTATTGGTAGACTCTTCCAGCCTCCCTTTAAGTTTAAGCAAAGCTTGTGACTGCTTATGGAGTGGCCCGATAGGGGCGAGTAGGCTATTTCTGTGGCAATGAAACGGTTTTGAAGGTGAGGTATAGTCAATTGTTTATTGGTGGTTATGAACGTCTTTTTACATTTAATTTATGAGGTTTACGTCTATGGGTGAATTTGACTGCGCAGTGATTATTTTATTACAGTGGAATCCTGTTATAACGAGAGGGAGGGGACCGAAGCAAAATGTCCGTTATAGCATGATTTTCGCTATAAGGGATCCAGTAATAAATGCAAGGGATACCGTAAAGTAGGCTTAATCTATGAGTTTGGTGTTCTGTTTTTCCTTTTGCTATCTCTCCTGATGATGATGATTTTGTTTCAACATGACCTCTAGGTCTTACTTGATCAAAAATCGAATCAGGTTTGTTTCTCTAGCGCTAGATCTAGCGATGTGGACTGACAGCTCGGCGTTG